TATATTATATTGTAATTATAATATCATATTATATGATAAAATAATAATATTAGAGTTATTGTTACAATATTACTATTATATTATATTATATTATATTATATTATATTACGACTTTGAATTTTAAATTGAGAAGATTGTAAATTTTAAATTTTATTAGAGGTATTATGAAAGTTTTATTAATTATATTGTGTTGATTCTTGCACAATTTAAAAATTAAAATTATCTTTAGGCTGCTTCTAATTTTAACTGTAGATTCTTGAAAAAATTTTCAAAATACACTTTTAAAAAGATTTACTAAACATTAAAATCAATTTATGCTACAAGCAACTGCCGATTTTAAAAGAGAAAAATAATACTAAATTAAGCCTTAATATATTTTTTCATAAAGTATCGAACCATAAACGCTATCTACTAAAATAGAAAAAGACTATCTTTTAACATTGCACAACCCATGGGTGGGTAGTACATAACCTGAATTATCGAATTGCAAAAAGATATTTCAATCTTAATTAAAACTTTTTTTTTTTTTTGGGTGAAATTTCGAACTATCAATTTGATGTTACTATAGATTAGTGCCCCACTTGCGCTGACCAAGACCCAAAGAACTAAAACCCCCCTCCCCCAAAAAAAAAAAAGAAAAAAAGAAAAAAAAAGATTAAAAGTAAACGAGAGCGCATTCTTTCTTCTTTCTTCCTCTCGCACCTTCTTCGTGGGTTTTTGTGTGCAACAAGGTGTGACTAGTCAATTATTATACCAACCAAACTTAAAGTGTGCCACAATCAATATATACATACATACATACATACATACATACATGGTTCACTGTTGTAGATTTTCATTTTATTTTCTTTCTTTCCTCTGGTGCAAAAGACTCGCCACGACTGTGGAATCTGCGATTAGAGCTCTGAAGTGAAATCCGCTAGAGAGAGAGAGGAGAGAGAGAGAGAGAGAGACATCATGAACAAGGGAAGCTTAGGCGCGAAACTCAGGCTCTCTGTGCCTCGCGATGAGGTTTCTTTCTCCAAGTTCCTGTAATTCTCTCTCTTCCTCTTTCACTTTCTCTCTCTATATGTATAATTGAGTTAAGTTGGTGAATGAGGTTGTGGATTTATGGCAGGACGGAGAGCGGAACGTTTAAGGACGGAGATCTGCTCGTCAACAGGGACGGAGTTCGGATTGTCTCACAGAGCGAAGTTGAAGTCGTAAGATTCTGTTTCCGAAAAGTCATTTCTTTCTTTCATTTTTCTTTGACTTGAATTATCCTTTTTGTTGATCTCTTGCATTGAAATTGGAGTCTCGTTTGAACTTAGAACTGCGAAATTCTGATATGTGCGTGTGCGGCGAACTGACAATTTTGATCTTGAGAAAAAAAAAGGGGCAAATTTTTTCCTTTTCTTTTCTATTTTGGTTGTCATTTTCAAATGAAGATTTACTTTTTTTTGGGGGAATGTGTTCAGCCGCCGCCGATTCAGCCGACGGATAATCAGTTGAGCTTAGCAGACATAGACACCATTAAAGTAATTGGAAAAGGAAGTGGGGGAATTGTGCAATTGGTACGCCACAAATGGACTAGTCAGTTCTTTGCGCTTAAGGTAAATGTGCATAATTTAGTACATGCTCTCTTCAATTTGTTGTTTGATATATATCTTGCGAATAAACACATGCTTAAATGTGAAAGAGAATTATATACTTACTATTTTCATCAAATGTGATCTCTTCTGCAAAAGTAGCCCCTTTGTGTAATTTGAGGATTTTCATTATTTTTCTCAACAATGTATAAGTGTTAAATTGATACCTTCGACTCTTAAGTATTTTGATTAAATCCAACTCAGGGTTCTTAATATGCTTAATGGCACTAGCGACACTAGCTTTCTAATTATTTCTTATTTTACTCTGGGACTTTGTGTTTCGGCCTTCTAGTTGAAGGGAACCATGTTGAATTCGTGCAGATTCTTCAATTCTTACTGCAGCCTTTATCTGATGTTTTTCGTTGTTCAGGTAATTCAAATGAACATAGAAGAGTCTTATAGAAAGCAGATTGCGCAGGAGTTGAAGATTAATCAATCGTCACAATGCCCTTACATTGTCATTTGCTATCAGTCCTTTTATGATAATGGTACCATTTCCATCATCTTAGAGTACATGGATGGTGGATCTCTAGCAGATTTTCTGAAAAAAGTGAAGACTGTTCCAGAGCCATATCTTGCTTCCATTTGTAAGCAGGTGGGATATATGGAAATCATGTGTGAGTGAAATCTTAGTTATTTTCTGGGTGAAAAAATCCATTGAAATATGCTTCTTTCTTTAACACATTGCTGTAGGTGCTCAAGGGTTTAATGTATCTTCATCATGAAAAACACATTATCCACAGAGACTTAAAACCTTCAAATTTGCTAATAAACCATAGAGGAGAAGTCAAGATCACCGATTTTGGTGTGAGTGCAATAATGGAAAGCACATCTGGTCAGGCAAATACTTTTCTTGGCACCTACAACTATATGTCTGTGAGTAACTCTGTTTGCTAATTTCATTATCATCTTGTTTCTCTTTCTCATTTTGCCAACATGATGATATCATTGCATCTAATCTATTTACTTTATTTGCAGCCAGAGAGAATTACTGGAGCCGCATATGGTTCCAAAAGTGACATTTGGAGTCTGGGACTAGTATTGCTTGAGTGTGCGACTGGGAAATTCCCCTATAAACCACCAGAAGAAAGTGAAGGATGGGTAAACTTCTTTGAGCTTATGGACACTGTTGTTAGCCAACCACCACCCTGTGCATCTCCTGATCACTTTTCTCCGGAGTTCTGCTCATTTATTTCTGCATGGTAAATACTTATTTTCCATTTTTGAGTAACAGTTTCCTAGCTGCACGATGCAACTAACCAAAAACCATTATAGAATCAATTGCCCGTAGTCATTTTTGATTGAGATTGTGGTCATGTTTGTTTATGATAACATCATAATATACATCATAATGATATTTGTGTTGCAAGTCTGACCTTCATTATTTCTGAATTACATGATTCTATGTGTTAGATTCATTTTTATGAATTTTCTAATACCTATCTTGGGAATCTTTTCTATTCCAGTGTACAGAAAGATCCCAAAGATAGACAGTCTGCACATCAACTTATGGTATCTAAATCTTTCAATATCTTTTTTCGGTATTATCATCTAAATTGAACAAGTTAGCAGGATCCATGCTATGTGGATAAACATATCTCACGTCTTTTTTTCCTCTTTTCCATGTGAAACCCAGATGCATCCTTTCATTACCATGTATGAAGACTTGGATGTTGATCTTTCATCTTACTTCACCAATGTGGGATCTCCACTTGCAACTTTCGATCTCCCCCTGTAAGTCCAAAGGCCCTGTCCTAAATTTTTGATTTAATTCTTGACTTAGGCGTTTTGTGTGAGCCTCCTATTGGTAATTTAGTAGTCTTTAGTTATTTTTCCTTTGTTTTTCGTTTTTTTTGTCTTCTGATTTTATTTCTTCAAGGAAAGATGAATATGTACTCTTGAATGTAGGCGGTCGTGAAAATTAAAGAATAGCAGGGTCTTATTGCTTTTCTGTTATATATCAATTTTAGAATAGAAAAATCCACAATACACTGTTTTCCCCCCTTTTCCTTGCGTACATTGCATGTCAAAGATATACTTCTTAACTCTAGGATTTTAAGGAAAATATATACACCATAAAAAATGCATTTTCCAATATGTTGTTGCCCTTTTTCCGTGCTTACATTGTAAATTACATTTTTTTGGGCTCTCAAGGAGCTAGTTTCTTGTGAAATATTCAAAAGTGTTCAATAATAGTGTTCTTAACCAGAAAGATTTCAGAAGATGCGGGTAGAATTAACTGGGTGACTGGTTTGCAGAATTATAAGAAAAATATGTCTTATCAATACTCGGTCATGTTCATGTGTGTGCTTTATTTTCTTGTGGTTTCAACTTTCAAGCACACTCTGATCAAATCTCCCGTGATGTGGGTTACAACATAGGCTAAAAATAACGGCTTGATTGATAGCTTCAGCTGATGCGTACGCTTTCACCCTGGTCAGTTCCAGGATCATGTATGCCCACTTTGGAAACTGCTATATTTTCAAGTTCTTCCTGAGCGTGTGAATGCTACATAAGATGGCATAGCTGATAGCACCTTCCACATTTTCATAAGAGAACTGTCTGTTTTACATAAGCTTCAGCCAGTGCATTTCATACACACTATTACCATCACTTCTGAACTCACTGTCATTATGTGTTACTTCTTGTAGAGTTCCGGTGATGAATGAGACTGAAGTTATAGCGACGTGACTTTTAAAAACTTGATGAACTGAGTTCCAACTGTAAGCATGACGGAAATAAAGAAGTCCCAAGCTGTCATTACACTGGCAAGGATTGCTGTAATATTAAGTGTTGGTCCATCACGAAGAATTCGAACGCCTTAGATTTTTTTCATGGAGGAGTAGCTTTCTGTAAATCGAGATTTTTGTGATAGCATGTTACTGTTTTGTAGTGCAGCATGATGAACCAAGGAATATGATTTATTGTATTAACCTAAAAGATCTCTTACCAAGTTGGCCAAAGGCACTCCAAAAGGTTTTCTACTTGAGTTGCAAATGCATTCCTTTATACTTTCAGATTATTGTGTTAAAGAAGCTGCATCGTCCGTCTAAATTACGCTCTCAAGATTCTCACGCACATGATTTTTCAAGTAAATTGGAGGATCCTTACAAATTCTTGATTTGGATTTCTTGGTGTTAATTGAGCATCTAGCGTTATTTATAATCTGATGAATAAATGGTCTGTGATCCTTCACATTCTGTTTAGTGGAGTAAGACTTATGAGCCTCTCTCTTTCTGAAATAGTCAGCAAAACCTTTCCATCCATCGTTGTATTCATCATCTATTCTAAATGTTGTTTGGCGTATTGTAGATCTTAACCTCCTTTTATTCTCTTTGGTCATGTTTAGTAGCTCGTATTGTATTGTGTTGTCTTATCATAATATAATACGGTGTTTGGTGTTATGGCGTATTGTATAAAAAGTCAAAATGTAAAATTTTAGTAATTTTGGGGTTAAAATGCAATTTTTTAAAAATTTTGGGGTCAAAAAAAATATATTAAGTTTTGGTGGAAAAATGAAATTTTATAAAATTTTTGGGGTCAAAGTGTAATTTTACAAAAGTTTGGGGTCAAAATGTAATTTTGCAAGTTTTAGGGTAAAAATGTAATTTTTAATAAATATAAAATTTGTATTGTGCTCCTTAAATTTTTCAACAATTTAAGCTCTAACTTGGCCCTATGTCAACCCGACTCTGACATCTAGTCGTGTTCAACATTGACATGAATTATTGATCTATTATAAAATAATATAATACAATATGTTAAAAATAAACCGTATTTAATAATACGATATATACCGTATTAATTTATACAATATAATGATCACACTAAATATTATATTATTATATTATTATATTATTATATTATTATACAATACGGTATTCTAATACAATTAAACAAACATGCCTTTTAAGTTTTTATCAGTTGTGAAATTTGTGTTTATGGTACAAGTCATGACCAGAATATGCGAGTTTTCAGACTACAAAATGCTTTGGAACTAATGATCAGTTATACGCATTGTTATTCTTATTTTTGATGACTTACAAATAATAGGCAACTTTTGATGCTTTATGAAGCAGTTTATGAAGCAGAGTTTCCAAACCCATGAGCAACAATTCCGTTAAGGCATGGAGTGAAATGTTTCATGCCTAACATTTTTTTTCCCCTATTTATTTCCTTCTCCCTCTCTTGGTTTACAAACTTATGCTTGATACAACAATTGAGCATATTTTCTTTTTTTCTCTGATAGATTATTGCATCCACAACTCAGAATAGGGAGATGAAAAATCAGAAACGAAATATTGTAATATCATGGTATACTGTAAATTTCAGTATACATTAGTATTGTGATCACAATTAGCCCAGATTAAAAATTGAAGGGCTGAATCATATGTTTAGGATTGTTATTTATATTCAAGTTATTCTAACATATCTCAAAATTATGAAGAGAGAAAGGTGCAAAAAAAAAATGAAATCACTCTTGGGCTTTTCTCTTGAACTTCCTTGCAGCTTTCAAGTCCACCACTATTACAGTGATGTTGTCCTTGCTTCCCTTTTGTAGGGCAACCCTTGAGAGGTACTCTGCTGCATCTTGAGCAGCAAGATCAACTCCCTTGCCTCGTTCAGCGGACAATGTATCACCATACTTTTTATGCCACAGAAGGATTCGTCTCCGCGCAATTTCACAGGCTTCCTCATTTGTCATAACGTCCCATAGCCCGTCGCTGGCGAGAATAAGGCATTCGTCTTCTTTTGCTCGAGATACAATCATCACTTCTGGATCAGGGATAATCCATGGCTTCAAGTATCTGTCACCTAATGATCAAAATTGAATACCTTAATCAGCATGGATTTAGATTCAGAGAATCAGACACACATGTGGATGATATATTTGGTTTCAGCAGAACAACCAGCCTTGGAATTATGGCTATTGGCCAACTTCTTTGCATCTAGAGTAAAAACATAGACAACCTAGGGCCATATCAAATTATCTATATGATGCCTAGTACAGGGAAAAAATCAAGACTGTGAAGCAAAATAATGACACATACCAATGGACCTTGACATTGCAAGAACACCGAAAACACGAGAACCGTTCCATTGTATAACTTTGCCTCCTGCAGCCTCTATTCTTTCATATTCGTCTTCCCTGTCTGGCTATAAACAGAATATAGCTATGGATCAATCTCTTTAACCATGTAAGAGACAAGTTTAAGTTCCAAACAGCAAAGCAACTTAAGAAACAACAAAAATAAATGCCTTACTTTGTGGTCAACTGACAATGGCACTGGTGTTTTTCCTCTAAACAAAACTGCTCTTGAATCACCACAATTTGCCACTATAATATGGGTGGGACATATAATGGCAACCACTGCTGTTGAACCAACGGTTTCAGGAGCAACAGGTCGAGGTATATCACTAGATTCATCGCAGTTGCTTCCATGATTTCCTATGGGAACTCCTCCAACCTCGGCATCAACTTTCGTCAAACAATTCGAGAAGGCCTTCTTCCACATCTCCTGCCAACTCTTCCCATTACTTCTGTTATGCAAGCCTGCTTTCGCAGTCTCTATTTCTTCAACCAAGGCTGAATGAAGTCGTTCTTGACAGTAATTAGCAACCTATGAAATGAAAATAACGCGAACTTATTGACTAAACCTCAAGTATTCATACATATATACACGCATATCTCCATACACAAATTGCTAGAGAAAGGAAAAAAGAAAAAATAGTAATGTTATGAAGTCAAGAAAAAGGAATACCTGGCTACCCCCATGACCATCATAGACCCCGAAAAAATGGGCATTCCTCGATTGACTTAGGCATCGATTCACGCCATTCAAGCCGTAATGATGATCTTCTAGCATTTCAACAGGGACTTGCAGCAACCTCGGTACAACTGCAACAGCATCCTCCATCTCCGGTCTCCTTCCGCAGATACATGTGAAACCCCAGAGGGGCAAACAGTCCAATCCAAACACATTTGGGCCACTTCTTGTTCTATTAGGTGTCTTTTTTTCAGAAACCTCAACAAGCGAGGTGGATGTACATGGACCAGATTCATCAGATCCATCACTGCCCTTTCCTCCAAAACACGCAATACTGGATTCTCTCAAAGTGGCCTTGCCAGTAATATCAAACATATCCACATCCTTACCAACATCCACTGTTGTGTGTGATTTCATCACGGCATCAGAAACCGAACCAGAGAATTTCTCACCACAGATAGTACTACTATTGTCTCTAGACAGATATAGAGAACATGAATTATTAACAAACTGATCACCTCTTGATGTGAGCTCATCCGCTCCCCTGTCCTCACCATGTGGACTCTTAGGGCAGAAACCTTCATTTCCACAAGAAATTGATTCACAAGGTAGATTTGACTTGGAATGGGGATTCGAAAACAAGGTTGCTGTATTTGCTATTAGCTTGAGCCCGTTAATTTCGAGTTGGGTTGTCACCGTGGAATCATCATGGATCAAGTTTCCTAGCCTAAATGGAACAGCAACTGTTGAGGATACCTTCTCCATCAACTCACCTTCAAATTTCTTACTAGCCTTACCCGTTCAAAGCCCTCTCAATACCAATGAAAACCAACACTTCTACGCTTACTTTTACGCCCTCTTTTCACATGGGCTGGTTTGTTTTTCTCTAAATGGTAAGCGAAGAAGCACCTACATGAACAAATTGAAGATGGTTAGAGGCAATTGAATGGAAAGAGGAAGCTTGAACATGGTTTAGTGATTACATAATGAAACTACATACTAGAAATAGACAAGTCTAGATTCCTTTTTTCTACATAGGGAAGAACCAAAGCCATCTTTTTTCTACCCCTGAACAGACATGAAGAAAGAGAAGGATGGCATATGATCCAAATGAAGAGGGTTATAATATGAGAATCATCATTAAGTTGGTTTCTACTTCTAGCTAATAGACAAAGACAAGAAAATGGAGTCACGAAAAGGAGCTTAAAACACAGTGCAAATAACTCCCACAGGAAGAAAAATCTAGATGAAATTAAGTTGCCAATATTGCAGGCAACCCATTTCAGCCTCACAAAAAAAAAAAAGAAAAAAAGAAAAAAAAGGGGGGGGTCTATTACTTTTTCATGTCTTCAACTAAACCGCCATAATAAAAACTACAAAAAAGTGAAAAGAATGGCTAAGCTGAGTCGCACCTACTTTTGTTGAAAATATCTCTGAGCTCTTAAAAAATAGAAACACTTAATAGGCCAACAACAAACAATCTATCTATGAGAACAAAGAAAGAACATATGGTGGGCAAGTTTTTGCTTACCGTTTTTAAACTCTGCATGCAAGCTTTGCATTGCATATAAGTTGAAATGACCAAGAAGAACCTTAAAAAAAGAGAGACTTTTATTTATTTATTTATTTAAATTATTTTATTCATTTTATCTGGGATAACATCCACACGTGTCCACCAAGGATAGGCATATTAGATTTGTTAGAAAATGGGGGGAATTGACTAAAAGCAAAGCATCGACATGTATCTATCTGGCTTTTATAGGGGAAAAAAAGTGAGTTGAAATATCCCAAGAAATAAGAATCATATCTTATATCTATAAAATGGTGAGAATAATATAATATAAAATACTATTATAATATAAAATAAAATAAAATAACAAAAAGCAATGGGATTAATATGGATACGCCGGTAATATAGATCAAAATATGACCATACGATTTGAAAACAATACGAATTTTACAGATTAGGGTTAAGATAAAAGAGATTCAGATCAGAATTGAGTCAATCTAAAATTAACATGAAAAACACTAATCAATTTCAATTTAGACCTGACTAATCCGAACACGACACGAAACTCGTAAAAAACTAAAAAATACATATATTTTTCATTACATATATTTTTATTTTATTATGAACTTATGATATCATGATAGTTATACTCAAAATCTTATACCATTATTTGTTTAATTTCAATGGATGTTATTGTATTTTAGTGTGTTATGAATTTTAAGTTATTTATAATATGTAAAAAATTAAATAAAAGTATACAAATTCCGTGTCAATTTCGGGTTCATGGGTCAATTTCGTATCACATGTCATTTTTATGTTGCAGTTTTTAAAAAATTTCGTGTCACGAGTCGTGTTCGGATTGACTGTAAATTAAAAAAAATGATGAAAACACGATACATAACACGAATTACTACCCTGTTTATGAGTATATAATATAGACATGTCGTATGCGGGATTAATCCAAAAGAGTAGAGTATTATTAGGGACAGAAAAAAGACAATTCCATTGTGGATGATCTAGCAGCTTAGTACTAGAAAAATACTTCACCAATGATGATTTGTAGCTCTGACCAAAAGAAAAAATTTTAAGGAAAAATAAATAAATAAAATAAACAAGGGTCTTCAATTGAGTAGTGCACGTTATACCTTGCTTTGATGGAACCAAACAACAAAATTTTCTTTTTGCCGTCAAGAACGAGATTCAAATCCATATGGCTAATTAGTCATCACTGTAAATAATATTCAAAACAATATAACCCATTCTAATATTTTATTTAGCTTTTTTTTAAAGGTAAATACAAGAAGCAATCATCAAATCCATGTGGCTAATTAGTCATCACCTATTAATAATATTTAAATCAACATAACCCATTCTAATACTTTAATTATTTTTTTTCTAAAGGTAAATAAAAGAAGCAATCATCAAAGCCATATGGCTAATTAGTCATCACTTATTAATAATATTTAAACAAATATAACCAATTCGAATACTTTATTAAAAAAAATTTAAGATAAATGAAAGATGCAATCATCATTTTCAATACTTAGAAAATGACTCTGGGTCGTCCTCCAAAAATTTAATTATTAATAATCCCAACCGCCGGCCTTCTTAAACAAAATAAAATAGATTTTTGTACATGCAAAATCCGTTTTAATGATACTACTTTTGATTTTTGCCTTCCAAGAAATTTCTGCTTTCTCCAGAGTTGTAATAAATAAAAAAAGAAAAAGCCATCCGAGGACCAGACTGCAAAAAGTGCCACGTACTAGACTGGTGACCTAAAGAGGACGTTGCAGTATGAGAGAAGTCCCGGGGGAGATGTATAACAACCACAAATAGACAATTGAAAACAGATAGATACATGCACTGACAAAATAAAAAATAAAAAATGTATCTTATGGGATTCTCTTTCCCATAAATTTCAAGCCAAAAACTCTGACACCAGCAAGCAATCAAGGCCTCTCATTGGGTGACACGTGTATGCTCATCCCAATCATTTGGGTTGGGACCGGCCATATGCAATCAACAACTTTGGGAACGTTTTTTTTATTTTCTTGTTTTCCATACGTCTTCATGAGAGAAGTTGTTGGTGGTGCGATCTTTTTGTAGTTTTGGGAAGAAAACAGGTGCACTGATAGAATTGCCAGCGTTTTCTATTTTTTGCTTGGTGTGCCAAGTTTCCTATTGATGGGTATTGAAGATTCCTGCTCAAATTTTGTTCCTATTGAAGAAGGTTAGAAATATCTTTTGTTAAACTTTGTGGGGGGTCTTTCTATGATAATGCATCGCTAGTGCATGTTTCTAACCTCAGATCAAATCAAAATCACAATAAAAAATAATAATAATAAATAGAATAGATGATTTATGATACAGATTAAGTAAACTTATTCTCAATTAACTAGTATATTTTGTGAGAAAAAAATACTGTAATGAGTCACGAATTATAATTTGAATCATAACACGAATCCTCGTACCAAACACGCTCGTCTCACCGTAAAAGATTTTTAATTTTGTGATGCCTTTCTCGAGTGTAATTACACGCGAATATTAAACGTACTGTGCGTTTATTAAATGCAGCTTAAATCTCAGCTAAGTGTTGTTAAAAACTAAGAAAAATTTGACCGTTTGGATAATTTTAAATAAATTTGGGTAATTTTTTCGATATTAAAACAGAGAACAATCCTTTCATTGTGTTGCTGAAAGGACATGGATGGGAGGGAAAATACAATTGAGCAATATTAACAAAAAGATGGAATGGGCGACATTGATGAAAATTGTCTATTATTGCTTGGTCGTGTCCAATCCGCAAAATACCAAAAAAGGACCACGGCTACACCTTTTAGCCTAAATATTTTAATATTCTCAGGAGGCCTACCGAAATGCTTCCTGTGGACAAATGGGAGATGGGATTTCATTCTTATTAATTTCACCAATAGTCACGATTGAATATACTATTGTAAAGCAACAATGTTTAGACAGAAAGTTTAAACATATATTACAAAAAAAAAAAAAATTTGTGAGATAAATTGTGATCTGTGAAACAAAAAGCTTAACATGTTTTTTACCCATTGATTCTACAGCTTGTGTAAAAATTAATATGGTGTCACCAGCAGTTCCCAAACCATCAGAACTTGTGTAAAATGCCAAGAGTACACCAACTTGCTAATTATTATCATTATTATTAATACGATCTTCATCTTCTGTTTCAATAATCAATATTGTTATGACTAGTGTTGAAGTGGAATTTCGACAGAAAATCTTAACTAAAAAAGGGAGTACGCAAAGCTTACCAGACAAAAGTGATCCTTTGGAGCGGGAGTTCCCTCACAGCTTGAAGTAAAAGAGAGTTCAGTAAGGGCGCTCGGGAATTTGGGAACAACAGAATGAAAGTTGAACAACAAAAATAGACTCGTCATCTGTGAAACACTCAACTAGTTCAGTAAGAGTCAGATTTGTATACAAATACATAATCAAGGGGTGAACGACCACAGACGACATTTGCAGAAATTAGTATCAAGGTTTGAAGGTCTGGAGCAGAAGGGAATCGCAGTAAACATGAGGATTCTACTCTAAAATAGCCTTTAAAAACTAAAACAGCCACAATTGACAAACAAAGCAAAAATCGGCTCATAGTTTTCACACCAAAGCAACTTAAAGTAACGAGGCAAATGAGCGAGGAGTTCGCCACGGCTTTGAGGGGTGAGATGAATGTCAAAATACGAGCTTGTAACAAATAACGAGTTTCCTCTGCAGCCTAAAAGCAAAAGAACTAAACTATTGTCTTCAGTGCGATCAGTGGACAAGCGGGAAATGGTTAGCTGAAAATATTACATTGGACATCAAAAGACTTACCTTAGCAATTAGAAGTCAAGTATTATGTGTGAACAATTGAAAGGTGATAACATGAGCTGAGTTTCTTCCAGATTTAAGCAAATCCTTTCGAGAAAACACAAGAGTGACCTCCAGTTCCAGCCAGTTAAAATCTGCTGCAAAATATGTTAATCGAAGTTAAATAAAGACCAGTGAGGAAAGCTCTTACCTTTGGCAAGCCCAATCTGCAATAATTGAAACACGTACATATCTGAATGATAACAGAAACCTGTATGCAAGTTTAAAATGAACATTAAACAGAAGCTCAAATATAAATTTAATTGAACAGAAGTTCGTCCAATATATCATAAACCAATAATCAGGGAAGGAAACCTCTAATTAGGCCACGAGAGACTTTAATTGAAGAAAAAAGCTGATTTTATTAGGAATATGAAATGTATTTACATGAGGCATTGTTCTCTGATTTGTGAAAGCTACAGCGAGGATACATATTTGCTAAGATATAATCACTAGGACATACTAATTTTACCTTGAACAAAAAGATCTTTACAGTCAAAGTCACCAACTTAATAAAGGAGAGAGATAAAAGAAAAACATCCGAAAGGTTCACTCAAAAATCAACTTGTGCGGGAGCCTAAAAAAGAATCTATATAACCTAATTGTTGATAGAAGGTCCAATGACTATCATATAACTGGCCATTTCTTGAGCAAAGCAGTTTTGTTTCTTTTGTCAATTGTATAATGAACAAAGTCTATACAAAGAAGCAGCTTCAAACCATCATATTTAGGTCTGAAAGGTCATCCATTGGAATTTCAAGGCCCATAAAGTCGTGATCTTGCAACCCCTCATCATCAATGTTCAACCAAGAACCCAAATCCTGCCCTTGACCATCAAGATCATCAGGAACACCTAGTACATCCATTCCTGGTAGTTGCAGATGGGACAAGTCAATAGGTTGGTCATCCAATACATCTAAGCCAAAGTCATCTTTTCCCTTGGCGTTGCTACTTGTGGTCATTTCACTTGATTTTGGTATGGAAGGCGTTGCTGGTTTGGGTTGTTCGGTTATCCTGCCAAGAAGGCCATTTACTGAAACAGATAGCTGAGTTGTTTTCTGCTTGGGCTTTGTTTTAGATTTCCTTTCCCCCTTGGCATTGGAGGATAATGAAGGACGACCAATTTTAGCCGTTCCATTTCTAGATAACACCTCTCTGTTGTACCCTTTTCCATCTCTGTCCCTCTCGCTCCTTTTTCCTTTGGCGCTGCTTGATAGAGTATTTCCCATGCTTGCTTGCGCACTTGAAATACCAATAGGACTGCCAACATCATCAAGTGACAATTCCCTCTTCTTCACTCTGTTTGACCATGTATCTTCTTTCCCAGTAGTTTGTTCGGAGACGAGCACATCTGAAGAGATATCATGTTTATCAACATTCTGAATGAACTGTGAGGGGCTTTGTTGTGAACCCATGGAAGCTGCAGAACAGAGAGCTACACACATCCAATAAAGAAGGCCAGTTGGTAAATTTAAAACCGCAATAGCCCGACATAATCTACTAGCAATTCATCACAAAGGATGAAACATATACACATGAAATCCTAAATAATTGCAGAACACATTACCCGAGTACTTAATAAATGACATAAATCAATACCTGAAATTCGGCCTTCCAAATAACGGATGGAGGCATATCCTTTGCTAGATTCTCCGTCTGTGGCAAAATCAACTTGTCGTGCACTATTAATGTTAGACCTCGAATGAAATGTTTCCATAAATAAGGGTTCGCTAAAGCAGCTCTTGCCTGTATCATCATACTTATGACATTGCTCTAGTGTCCGTTTAACAAAAGCCAAGGCAGCTTGCTTTGCCCCTTTATTACTGGAACTCTTCCCGCTACCCCAGCAAGCCTAACAAACAAAAATCGTTAAGAATCCAGCATCAAATAAGTAATCAAGGATAAAGGATAATTTCGAGCTGTCACACTTAAAAAGGACTCGCGATAACTGCCGCCATTTTTCGAAACTATAAGAGCAGCTTAAAGTGGTTTTCCAGGCCTTAGACCTAATATCCTTCATTCTCCATCTCAAGTAATTTTAATCTAATAGAAACATCCAAGAATTTTTCCCTTTCTTTCCTTAAAAATGAAAAAGCAAACGAAGTGATATATCCACAATTACCATATATTTTTCATAGGCCATTGTGGTGAGTTTCTCGAGGGCATGTTGTTCAAACTCCCTATAAAACACAAAGATATAAGTAATTATACTGTGATTTAAAAAGATAAAAATAAATGAAGACGGAAAAAAGGAGAAGCTTATTACTTTTCTTGATGTTCTTTTGTTACCAAGGCAGACTTCAATAACGTGTCTATCAAACCTTTCCTCTTCAAAACCTATCAGCAAACAATATCACAAAATCAAATCCTTAATAATAGCGTTGGTTCAAGTAAGATCAAAAGTTTCAAAAATAAAAATAATGAATGAATTTTCTTTTAGCTATGTAGCATTAGGTACAGAATATTTCCTTGCATAAAAGGTTGAAGATATATTTGAAATAACGCAGTAAGTCAAAATATACCTGTTGATGATACTTCTCCTCCAATTTACTTATCTCCTCACCGATTTCTTCATCCCCCATCCGCACCATGTCAGGCTTAGCAAAAGTAAAGTAAAGTAAAATTATATTATAGTTGCAGACCATATACAAGAGAAGGAAAGTAAAATAAAACATGCAAGAATTTGGATAGAAAAAATTATCGCTCTCAATTGGCAAGTAAAATTCATTGCCAACTCGATGTTTCAGAAGTAGAAAAAAAAAAAACAAAACCACGAGGGTTTCTGATCATGCATACTTAAACTGAACTCTCAGTAAAAGGAGAAGAAACAAACCACCCACCAACCACATAACTGGGAAAGGAGCAATATCACAGAAGAAAAAAAAGGGAAGACATGTAAGAATTCTTGTAAAAAGTTGACCTACCACAGGTTCTGGGAAAATTCCAATACTTTGAATTTCCAAGAGAAGCTTTTCATTTATTGGCATGTTTTCATATTGAAATTCTGTACACATGCTGTTAGGAATCGATGTTTGGTCCAAGAGTAAGCCATTTGACGAACAACTGAAGTTTGCGTTCATTGCCATGTGTGGGATACCAGTCATTTCAGTTTCAGGCTCATTTTGTTCTGATTTCCCAATTGCCCTATAACCGTTATAAGCAGAATGTCCAGAAAATTGAAAATTAAGTAGAGATTGGTGATCCAAAGTATTTGATCCCAACTCTCCATCCTGATCAAATTCAGATCCATATGCATCAACTTTGAGATCTTCATTTCCACTGCTATAATCCTCCTCTGAAATTAGTGCTGCTATGAGCCTTTGACAAAGGGAAATTTCATTATGATCCCCTGTACCTTGTACTAATTGTTCTAGAAGGAATTCCCCATTTCTTGATTCACATTCAGTTGACCCAAATCCATTAGAGACGGTGTTACCACCATCTCCGTTTGAAGGTACTTGGGTAGATGTCAACGCAGTAAACTCAAGGTTCTCCTGATAGATAAGTAAAACAACTTGAGAAAAATAAAATAACCCAAATCCGTAATAAAATTTCCATGTCCAGAGAGAGGCATTGCCGAGACTTGAATTATATCCAACAAGGAAAAACTTTGAAATGGGACCAACAATGCCATTTAAAGTAGACTTAAAAAATAAATAAATAAAATAGTGATGAGAAATGCTATGCTAATGGATTATTTGTAGTCAGTTTAGTGAGAAAAAGTTTGTTAACATCATTATTTGAGAAGAGAAACAACAGTAATTTTTTCTCCTTATGAGACCATCACCTGTTGCTTTAAGTAAGAAATGTCTGCATCAGAAATAAAACCAAAAAATGGCTCCATCTGCTTCCAAAATGGGCTGGAACAGACACGGACTGCAGCAAAAGTTTAGCCATTAATCCAACTAACTCAATCATATAGGCACTTGAATAAACAGAACATGTCAAAAAAAATACCGGGGTTAATAACAGCATTTGCAGCAGCCAATAGCTCTTCATTCCCATCCTCTGACCCAACTAATAAACAGAGCCAAATGTGAATGAAGTAGAAGAAAGAAGTGAACAAAAAACCGTAATCAAGAAAAAATCAGAAGTTTGTAGATTCTTTTTCTTTTCTTTAACAAATTTCAAGTACAAATACCAAGAAAATCTGCGGCTGCATTAATTGCTGTATGCTTTTGACGAGTATAGGCTTTTCGGTCAGAAAGTTTCCTAGTTGGTGGACGGCCAGCCTTACTGAGAGAGGAACATCACAAGAACCATAAGATTCAACTCCAATCAACAAACATAATAAGAGTAAACTGAGGAGAAGCATTTGTTCAATAGCAAATGCAAGTACAAAATCTTAAACCTTTCAGTCTTATCAAAACCAAGTCTGGCACTTCTAAGCTGTTTTGCTGTTCCCACGACGCCAATCTTCTCTACTGTCATTGGCATAAGAGACCTCGTGGAAGAAAATCCTCGCCCAGTCCTCCCCTGCCTCCGAACACCATCTCCAAGGTCTTCCCCAGAAACTAGCTTATTCTTTCTTGACGACAATACAAGAGAGGATACTTTTTGGACACTCTGTCCAGCTTTCTCATCCGCCTCGTCAGACTTTTTAACTTTATCTCTGGACTTTGTTTCAACAGCCCCTGACTCCTCACTCTCAGATAAGGCAGCAGCAGACAAAGGATCACCTTTTAACTTAACCTGCTGAGGTGAACCTCCAGACATGCGTTTTGTGAACCCCGAACCAATGTCATTACCAGTGACATCAGATGGGCTATCCATGGCAGGAGTTTCATCATTACTGGAAACAATTGGAACAAAATTTGAGCGTCTTGCAGTACGTGAGATTTTCTGTGGCCTTTGGCCAGCCCAATGGGTAACGGGTGGGGAAGAAGATCGTGTTGATGCCATGCGTTTGCGATTGTTAGCTCCAATGCCGGAAGGGGGCTTGTTTGTACAGTGAGAAATCTCCCAGTCATTGGAAACAGTAGGTCTATGGACAACCGGGGACGACTTAGGCAAACCTCCTGTACCTGATCGTGGTGCTCGGACAGATGCATTCACTTTTGCATTTGAAATAGGACTAGCTGAATTTAAATCATCACGACCGTTTGCCCTGAGTATTGAATAACAAAAGGAACAAAAATAAATAGACAGTGATTTTGAAAATGATATTAACTAAGAGAACCAAAGATGGGCCTCAATTGACAACAATAAGGAGTCGTAACAGAAAAATAGCAGATAAGACTCGTAACTAAAATAGAAAAGTGGCATAAGAATAAACCATCTCATAAATAAAGCCAGAAACACTCAGTGGAAGAAAATGATTGATGCTAAACATACTTGTTAACAGTTCTAAGGTTCACCCTTTCCTTATCTGAACCAATAGGACGATCTCTCTTGTCATTGGTTAGGGAACTGTTATCTGGATCAGTCCTAGAGATGGATGAACGCATACCCAAGCCAGTCTGTTGTGACATTCCATCAGATTTCCCAACTCCAACAACGCTACTAGTGACTCCCGGCCTACAGAAAGGTACATGTAAATAACACGCTTTAGAAGAGATTCATAGGTGGTTATCATCAAATGAAATCAAATTCGATAACATTTCATAAGTGCTTTCAAAGAAATAACAAAGAGGAAGAGATCTCATTCTTTTCCAACTTCAATCATGAGCCATCAAATATTGCAACAATTAAACCAATGACCACAGTAAGCCCCCAATCTCTATGGATATCTCGAGGAAATCTCTCTATCAAATGCTTCAACACGTCACATTACATGGATAAGGCACAATACAATAAAGGAAAAACGATACATTGTTGTATGCAACATAAAAGCATCAATTAAGTAGAAAGCTAGCAAATATACCTTACCCTTTACTAAAAAGTCTCAAGCCTGTATTCTAAGCATAAATGCACCCTTAAGAAATAGAGAGTTAGTAGTATCTCTATAGTATTTAGTCCTCATGCAATACGGGCCTTCCTTTACCTAACCTCAAGACTAATCATTCAATGATAATACAACTAACAACATCGCAGATAATTAGTAATGAATGTAATTCTATATATCTTAATCATATACAGAGATTTCCTTTTTCCTCAACCATTACACAGACATAAATGAGTTCCCATGCCCTTCTTAATTTCTTATCAAGAAAACCACTATATATCTATATATATATATATATATACATGAACAAGCATCTACCCAAAAATATTGAAGCCCTACCCATTGATGAACTATTCTAATATAATAGATTTCAACTCCAAACCATTTCCATGGATACGTTGACAGTAATAATTCAGAAGTCATACCTAAAACCATGCGAGTCATTATTTAACCTTGATCGAGCATCAGTAACAGGCCTTTGCTGCATTCCTTGTTTAGTTTCCCGAAAGCCATCAATGGATTTAGGAGGCAGCGTACTGGGAGAAACATCTGCTTTTATCCCAGAACGCTTCTTCTTCATTTTTGACTTTTCCCAACCATCAACTCCAATGGATAAAGTTCTATCCTCACCCTGAACTGCACCACTGTTTGCAAGCCTCAACATTTCTCTATCCCTATCTACAGTGCCAGATGTCCTGACCAGAGCATTACTCCGTCCATCCATCTACATTAATCACTATCACTATCAAGCTTCTTTTATTGGAAATATAGTGGGTAAGGAATAGACATGATGCCCAAATAAACGGCAATACTGACGCAGAACATTATCTTAAATTTGACCCAAATCAACAATAATAGGAGTTTGTTAGCAACGTCAAATACCATCTCCTACACTCAACTGAAATAACAATGGTCAGGGACAGTTGAAAAAATAATTTTAATTGGAACAAGGCCTTCTAAATCAGATAAGCACATGCATAAGACAAAAATGTAAAGAGAACAATACCAACACCCATAATGACGTTTAGACATTTTCAGAAGCTGTGAAAAAGAAAAAGATGCAACAGAATTTAAAAACCAAAATGGTAGCAGAAAGAACTTTTACAAGTAAAAGTAACAGAAAAAATTTGGAACGAGGCCGTGATATTAAAAATATAGCAAAGGAAGCACATCTGAAGTGATTAATAACATATACCTTAGCATCCACAAAAGAAGTTCGAGTGCGTTTATTCGGGAGAGTAGTTTTCGTCCGTTCTTCTGACTTCTGCTCAAGTTCAAAACCACCTTGGATGGAGTGATTTTGAATTCCTATCTTGCCCATGCTTGGTCCTGCACCTGGTCGATCACTTGATAACATTGCACCAGAGCGATCACTAGGAAAACCTTCTGATCGAGATCTCTTTTTAGATGGTACACTTGGGAAAAATTTATTAAATACCGACAGAGCTTCGTTAAAAATTTTCATCCGTTCCCTGTTATAACATAATGTTACAAACCATTTTTAACTCCAAACCAAAATGAGAAACATACAAAGAACTACCTGGCCTTGACATTACTTTCCCGCAGAGCATTCTTGGCTCGTTTGGCTTCCTCTGGTGATAGAGATGGAGGCAGCATCTTTCCTTTTGTAGAACCAGAAGGAGATTCATCTGATGAAATTCCAAGAGCAACATGTACATGTCGTTTAAAGTCCCCTTGGCGGAGTGATTTATGATCCGAAGCCACCACCTTTGGATCAAACCTCAAGCAATGAAAGAAATTCATCACATCTCCTTGTGTTACTGTGGAGGTGCTTCTTGACATGTTTGGAAGAGAAGACAAAATTGGATTATCCATGGTCTCACGAAAGCTACTCGATCTGTCCATTTGAGTAGCTATGTGGGATCCACGTTGCCCACTGATATATAAAGGTCGATCTGGGCTACTAGACGAGATATCAAACTTGCTAGATGTTGCCATTTCACTAGTTTCCACACATACTTTGCATCATTAACCCAAAAAATACAGAGGTGCATGACAAAGTTGGGGAACTAAAGCACATAAAGCCAAAATTTCTCAAGGGCAATGATTGAGCAGCATATCTGCAATAGACATAGCAATAAAAATGAGAGTAAGAAATGAAATTCACATTCTACTTGAACGAGGTGGGTAAGAACTCATTTGTGAAGATTCATATTTCTCATGCCAGAAATGATGAAAAACCAAGAAGATTTATGGCCACAAAGAAAGTGAACCTCCTAATTTGTTTAACCATTATATAACGATTGTTCAAAATGAAACAAAATAAGCTATAACTAAAAATAGAAAGTCTCAAAACACCACTTGTGCAAACTGCGTGAATTATTTCTTCCCCTAAAGCTGCATTAACTGTTAAATATCCTTCAAGCAGCACCTAAATGAGAAATCTTTTTTTGCTTCTTATCACAAATATATACATACAGATATATATATAGACATGTAATATACAGTTGCTTATTTTTATCAACTTAAATTTTCATAACACATGAATTCGTAATTGCAAGCATTTAGCGAAAAAGTCTCTATCTTACAGTCATAAAGGTAAAGCATTTTTCTCCAACTTCATTGAAGTCTTGTCCACCAAAATAAGTAAATATTTATATTATCGAGCTTCAACGGAAACAAACTGAATCCAATATGACCGAAAGCATGACTCTTGTATTTTGGTTCCAGCTCCGATACTTTTAAGGCCAAAATTTTCGTTAAGCTCGAAAAAACAAAAGGAACTTACACATTAGAGCTAATGACTCCGCGGGATTTGAACAGTTGGTTGTTCAAATCAGAGAGTTCATATCGGGTACCGTACACCCTCCAAAATTGATAATTTAATTAGATAACAAACTGCACAAATTGATTAAGTAAAGTCAATATCAGCCATTTTGTACTCTAAATTCCTACTTAACTTCCTTCCATATAAGCACCCAAAAATTAAACTACAATCATTGATTGAGAAACGAAGTAAGCACCCGATTAGCCTAAAACAACTAATCGTGAGAAATCATTAGCTATAACTTCTCGTTTTCACATAATTTGATTAACTGATTAACAACTAGATTTGTTCGACAATGCCTAAATTCCAGTATTTTAAGAAGCCTAGTAACGAGATCACATTTCTAAATAATCAAATTCCCTGTCAATTCTACACACACAAACACGAACATAAACACTTGAGAGCTAATCACAACGTTACCGAGATTGAAACTTGACCAAAGACACCCAAAACCAAAAATTCTTACACTTTGATAACCGCGTCCAGGCTATGCGCGCGCGGCTCCTTCCAATAAGCTTAGTTCCTGCTGTTTGGTTCCCGAGAAAATAAGCACAACAATGGGTCAGCTATTGAATCTTACGTAATTTTGTTACTTTATTTTTTTGTCCGTTTTGATTCCGGATAAAACAGAAATGAAAACAACAATAAACAATAAAAACGAACCTTTGAAATTGAGGGAAATGGGTGCGGGAAAAGGGAGGAAAATAAGGGGGTTTGGAATTTTCTCGGATCCCAAACAGTTTGGAAGAATCACGGAAGAGGGATTGAATGAATTTGGACTTTTTTTAGGGTCGCCAAAGAGATCAGAGTCGGGCGTGGAGGAGTTCCGGGGCTTCCTTTGGACAACATGGGAAAATTGGGAAGTGTCGATTTCGATTTCCACGACACGGCGTCGTTTTGAAGGTGGATTTGCCCCAAACGACAACGTGTTTGAAACGAACCGACGCCGTTTAGCGCGAACGCAGAGGTCACATTGTCGTTTGGGGCAGCAAAAATAATAATTTTCTTATTGAGGAAAAAAAAAAAGCAAACTAATGTTGTGACAAAATGTCATCCATTTTTAATAGATGAAAAAATAACTTTGATAAAACAACTTTATAAATTAACAGCGAGTTGTGACATGTTTTAAATGTCATTGACCCTTAAATAGTTAAATTTATACATACATACACGTATATCTTAAATAGCAAAGAAATAATAACTCAAAACGTTAAAGGATTTTTTTTTTTCTCAATATGAAATATAGGGTTGATTTTTTTTTTTTTTCTTTTTTCATATAGAATCGGATTGAGAATACTATCGTCATGCGCGTTGATACCAAACATATATATACATAATAAAAGAGACAAGTATGGTATTTCAACTAAACATAAGGGATGCTAGATATCTCCTTTTAAATGGTAGTTGTATAATATTTGAGAGGTAAAATGATCTTTTTATGCTATTCTTTCAAGGTGTATTATGCGAATTTGAAATACTGTTTGACAGGAATTTTAGACCTTAAAAATTCTAACGGTTAATGCGGGGTTGTTGTCATAATTAAATTTGGTTAAAAGGATAGTACCACAATATCTACAGTCCTGTTTATTTTACCGATTCGAGTTTTATTATAATAAAAATCTCTCAGAAACAGTCACATTTAATTTTTTTATTACAGTAAAAAACTCTCACATAAAGTCACATCTTAACTCGAATCAGCGAACTAAACAGACCCTACAAAAGTCTAATGGGTATCAATATATATATTTTTAATTTATTCTTCAACTTTGATTTTGCCAGATAGGTAGGTTCAATAATGATTTTTGTTTTTAAGTATGACCAATTAAATCGGAAAGTTGATAAATGAGTTGGAACTTGGCGGTGTCTTCAAAGTGATTGTAAATGGAACTTAAATAAATAGGTAATTAAAAAAAAAAAATTGCACGTTGTAAATTGCATATGTTGCACAATGCACGTACGTATACCAAATGAAAATTTAACAGTCTACCAAAGAACGTTTCTACTAGTTCTTTACGACAGAGTATAATCTATTGTAAGTAAATTAGAGGACTGTTAACGAAGTAGATCTGATATGCTTGTTAGTAAAAATGTCTCCTACATTTCTCTCTGTTTCAACAAAACAGCCAAACGACGGAAAAAAATTCAAAAAATTCAAAAATAAAAAACTTCCTGTTTTGCTCACGGCCTTGGGACCATACATACAATGGCAATCAACATACATAGTTCATAATACATGGTATATCAAGCATAAAGAGCAATAGACCAGGAACTGCCACAAAGCGAAGGCCTAACTGCCACAAGCGAAGGCCTATTTTGTTCGCCAACCTGGGCAGTAAGGACCATAATAAAAGCCTCAGATTTTCAGTACTTGGATACAAAAACTTCAAATCACCAAAGTACTACTCATTCCTACCAACCAAACCAAAGGTAATAAGTCATCCAACACTGCTGTACACTTGGGAAATTATTCATAGCGACTAGCGAGAGCGTGAACTTCATTGTTCAAGCTTATCAGGGCAAAGCCTTGCTGAAAAATTAGCAGGCATGCCCATTAGCTTCATAAAGGGCCTCGTTCATCTGTTTAGAGAAGACGCTTTTAAATTGTTTCGATCGAGTCGAGCAACTATCCAGAGCTATACGTCATTGTCTGACGTGTGAGCACCGGATTCCTTGTCCGTTGAATATTCATCCGAGCACTCAACTGCAGAATCAGCTAGCAAATGAACACATAAACTGTCAAGAGTGTAACTCCGTTTGCAGTTCATAAGGAACATTTAATAATGCTTGTGTTGAATTAAGTTCTATTACCGTTAGAAGAATCGGTGGATGAACGGTTTGGTTCTGTAGCCCTCTTTGGATCTGCAATGGTTGGAATAATTAGATAAGATATTTTTGGCACAACAAGAGAAGACAAAAATTAGGAGGATTTATCATTTCAAACAATGTAAAACACTAAAGAAAATGATGGAAATAAATATGGGCTCCATTCATCTTTTCCTTTCATGCATTTTCCTTCCACTCGTTGTATGTTGCATGGAGAAAACAAGGGGAAGATACATAATAAAGGAAACAGCAAAAAGTGAATGACTAGGATAAAACTCATACCAAAAGAATGACGCAACCCTTTGATGGCCTCAAAATTCTTGTATGTATATCCAACAAAATTAAGATCTTTAGGAGTCAACATCGTCTGGCAACAGAAGTTATCAAATAATAATTAGATACAAGGGCAAAATATTACGAACAAAAAAAATTTCCAGGTTATTGTGATGCGTGGACTTCTTGTGTCCTAAATCTTTTCAGACATAGCCATTAGATTATATTAAGTACTCAAAATCATTAATGTAAATGACATGTACAAAAGACAATATCATAACGTACAAAAGACAATATCATAACGAGTTAAAAAATATTTTTTCTTCAGAAGCTTTTCTTAGTTTTCACTTCTTTTTCTTTCTTTAGGTTACTTTTAAAGTAACCCGTTAATACTTGAATTTAACTCCCATGAATTTAGTGTCAAAGCAATCAATCAATCTCACTGGCGATGCTGTTTTATGTCACATGCAAAGCTGTCATTCCAAATTCCAGTGGCTAGAGTATGACAAAAACCAGACAACTAAAGACATCATATTAGTTAGGGTTAATTTTTTTTGTAGCACTAAAACTAGGATTACCACCGGTTTTGATTGTTTTCTTTTATGTCACTGACATGCCAAAAATTTCTAGTAACTATAGCAATTTTCGATAGTCATGAAAGTGCAGTTTATAATTACTAATGTGGCAGTGACATTAAGAAAATAATCAAAATCAATGCTGTTTTAGAATTCTTTTTATTAGTGATAGCCGAATAATAATTAATCCTAGTATGTGCCAATTTCTCTGGTATTCATTAAAATAAAAATAAAAAGGTCTTTGGTGTCCTTAGAAGTAGATAAATGCATACCTTCCTTACTAATCCAGATCCATTTCTTGCCGGTTTTGGTGTATCCACCTATGTATTAAAAAATGAAGGGAAGAACCATAAACTCAGTATGGAATAAAAAAATGAAGGGAAGAACCATAAACTCAGTAAGAATCTATGCTAATATAATAACTAATAACAAATAGGAAGTTATTTAAAATTAGGCAGAAACAACCTATTTTCCTTAATGAAAATTGATCAAGATAAGTAGGCTTAGCACCTCATCAAACTTCATAAAATTTTGAGTATCAAGTTCCCCATTGACCTCAGGTTTAAATGCTGCTTCCACATCATAAAGTTTGTCCCAAATAATATCTTTGAACCAAGGATGAGCCTGGTCAAATTTAGCATAATTAGTATAGTTAAGAACAAGTGTGGGAATTTAAGCATGATAAATTAACATGCAAGTTGAAGTTAAGAGGAAATGACATACTTTAATTTGGTAAGCTCCTGCTATACCAAGCCTATGTTCAACATCACAAAGCAACCTACTGATCAGATCTTTTGCTTCAGCCGACAGTCTTGCCTCCTCTGGAAATTTTAAGTGGTTTCTCCAGTGCACAATCTGACATACATGAGTTTTTTGGTCAAGTAACAAGTAGACATCTAATATTGTTATAATAATAAAGTTCAAGTGCAAATATTTCCAGAAGTCATATAGGCAGGTTAACGATTCATTAGTTGCTCTGCGAGAAATTCTGGGAACTGGAGGAAAGGAAAAGAAAGATCCTGGATATGGTCTTCTCAAGTAACCATACAAATTTATATCTACATGCATGAGTAAACAAATAAGGAAAATGTTGTAAAATCATGGAGTAAACGTTATGCAAAGTCTTTACAGTCGAGGGATTCTTGATAAGATGATTGACCGCACACCAACAAATGGAATAGGATAACTTAAGCGCTATAAGATGATATATATGCTTCAGTTCAAGAAAAAGAATACAAAGTACATCATAATCACTAAACCTTTCTGCATGTTGTTACTGGATCATCAGAGTAGAAGGGAGGATATCCAACAAGCATCTCATACATTATTGCCCCAAGTGACCACCTGCAAGCAGGAAGTAAATAAGTATACATGTAACCGAACCTTCATACACCTGACAAAACATCCAGAGCAATGGCAGAGGTTCTTGATTGTTAGCATCAAGGTCATGTCCGCCCTCCTGAGACCTTTATATTAGGAAATAAATTTGTTCTGCCATTTATTAGCTATTATTGCAACTCAATAACACAGGACATTGAGTCAGGATCTATAATAGCTCTAAACCAAAAGAAAAGTGAATATGTCATACGTAAAGAAAGTTAAGTAAACCAAGAATAAGAGAATATAACTGATGGACCTCAAAAGAAAATATTTAATAGTTTGAACTGACTGACCAGTCACACTCTATGCCATATCCTTTCTTCATCAACACTTCTGGAGCAATGTAATCTGGAGTGCCAACTGTTGAATATGCCTGTAATTGAAAAAAAAAAAAAATCAAATCGAACATGTATATATGCAATCAATTGAATACATATGAGTTTAAGGAACTTATGCAAGTGAGATCTTCAATGATTTGTCAGTTAATCCAACCACCAAAAAGGCAATAATATCTGCTCTATTATAAAGGACTATCATCTTCACATACCAATTTCCGCCTGTTTATCTGCCAATGTTTAAGTTGTTCCATGGGGCTTTTCCAGCGCCTCCCGCTGGTTGTATCTGGGAATCCTTCAGCATCTGTTGTCTCACTCAAGTTCTCATCATCGAGAACTTCATTTTCTTGTATGGGAGACAAATGTGAGCAGTCAAGAGGCTTGCAAAGACCAAAATCAGAGAGCTTCATGTGACCATTTTTGTCTAACAGAAGGTTGTCTGGTTTTATATCTCTGTGAATGAAAAATGCAAAAATTCAGTCACCAATAACCAGCACTCTCACTATTACTTCAAATGTTTTACATACATGTCAGATACTGGACAAACCAACCTGTGAATGTAGTTATGTTTATGAATAGATTCAATTGCAAGAACACTTTGAGCAATGTAAAATCTGGCCACAGTCTCAGTCAAAGTTTCTTCTCTTATAAGCAAGGTCATCACGTCTCCACCAGGAAGATATTCCATGATCAGATACAAGTACTCAGCATCTTGAAACGAATAGTATAGTTTCACAATGCAGTGACTGCCAACCTCTGCAAGCAAATTCCTTTCAGCTCTAACATGCTCAACCTGGTTTCAGTTATACATACAATCAGTGATTATAGATATATGCATGGACAAAAGTAAATGGCAGTGATCATGCAAATGGTATTTTGCGAACTAATGTGGCTGTGGACACGAGAACAAAGTGAATTTTCTTCTTACCTGTCCCCGACTAAGCATTTCAGATTTTTTCAACTTTTTCATGGCATAGATGTTCCCTGATTTCTTCTCCCTACACAATCTGACCTGTAAATATCAAGATAAAAAAGTCTTTACACAAGAGATAAGACATTTAACAGAAGTTAAAATATAATTTATTGAAAGGAAAAAGTAAAAGAAATGAAAATTTCAACAGGTATTAAACAAAAAACCAATACAACCTATTTCTATTCTCATGCAAGTTTTACCAGAACTCTTTCTACACCATTATCCCAGCCAGTTCCAAGAATTATGTTCTTATAACTAAGAAATTTGATTTTCTTCGGCATTGATTGACAAAGAAAGCTATATAGCTATATACAATGCAAATTCTTTGTTAGATATATCAATCTTCTTTCATTGGCTATGAATATCACCCATGTTTAGTCCCAGATATCAACTTTGTCTGTTTTCTGATAAACGAGATATTAACATCTTTTTAACATAAGATTTCAATAAGTATCTAGACGCTTTTCCGAATAACACAATTGTGAGAAATGAAAAGACATGTCATCTTTAAAACGAAGCATCAATGCATTTTATATGAATATGCATATTTCTAACCTCTCCAAAGGCCCCTCTCCCTATAATAGTTAGAAGATCAAAATCATCAACACAAATCTTGTGCCTTTGCAGTCGCATAAAATTAGTCTCTTTGCGTTCCAAATCCTTCAACAGATTCACTTGTTCCTCCTCCGATACGCTTTCAGAAGCCAACTTCTTTTCGAGCACTGAACGCCTGGAAATAACAAATTTATAAGACGAAACATAAGAAAGATCAATCAAAAAAACTAAATTTACCATCATCGGTCAACAGTAATAATCTCTTCTTAAAATTTTAGCATCATATCTTCTCTGTTTCCACATTAACCTTTTAAGGGGTTTATCCACAATACGTCTACCAGTCCGTACTTGTTTAATACCATGTCCAATTATTCAAAACGAAAGCAAAAACGCAATTTCCCGTTACAATGGTCTACCAATATATATATATATATATATATATATATGCCATTATTCACAATAAGCATACAACACATTTAAACAAAAATATGATTAAATTGCTGCAATTTTTAAAATTAAAAAAAAATAACAATAATGCACTCTCCTCAACCAAAAAAAAAAAGGCACAGTCACATTCTCACGAATCCTATTTCCATGCATATAGCAATCCCTTTCAACTAAAGCAACCATGGCGAACTACCAAACGCTAGAGGCCGGTCCATTATGAACCGATCGAAGGGCCTAATTCGCGTCTTCTCTTCTCAAACATACAAACGATTCAGAGACCACAATTCCATTCCCGTTAAAAACCTCAATTTGATCACCAACAAAAAAAAAGGGAAAAACAGAAACAAATTCTCGAGCGCCGATTACGAACAACAAGGCCAGAGCTCGAACAAAAATTGAAAACGAAACGCCATTAAAAACGTTCGAAAGTGTTACCTCTCTCTGCGCTCTTGGATGTGCTTCCTCTGAGCCCTGTAGTGGTTCTCGATGAACTGCTTCGCCGCCGCGACCTTCTCCATCGTCAAGCTCGAGACCGGCGCAGCCTCCTCTCCGGCGCCCATGGGCCCCACCTCTTCGTTCCCCTCCTCCTCCTCCTCGGGATTCTTCTCCATCTCTCTCTCTCTGTTTCTCTCTCTTCTTCCTCTCTCTACCTGGTTTTTGTGAACTTTTGGCGATTGTGACGACCAAGCAAACACCCAAGGGACGAACGAGACCGCACAACGCAAACGCTCTTCTTTCCAACGACAATTTTCTGTTTTTTTTTTTTTTGGTTTTGTCCTGATTCTCCTTTTGAATGACACGTGGAATCTTCGGTCCAGGGTCGTTTCGACAGTTGGCCTTTCCCCAGAGCAAAATTCAGGTGTGAAGTTTTTGCTTTTTAATGTGACGCCAACGGCTGAACTCTTCGCGTCTTGAAATCGACGGTCGAGAATTCGTCAATACTTTCGAGATATGAAATTTTGGTGTGAAGTGGAAAATAAATGTATCGTTTGGTTAGAGGGTGCGTTTCGTTGGTTCCAGCGAGGAAATAGTAATGGTAATAGATATGAGAATTGTAAAATAGATTAAAAAAAATTGATTTATTTATTTAATTATAATTTTAAGAATATTATAAAATAGAGTATGAATATTTTTATATTAACAAAATTATCGTTATGTCATATATAACATTAATATTTTATATATCAATATAATTAATAAAAAAATATATAAGGTAATGTAATATAATATAATTAGTATATAATATATTACATAATTATGATATAAAATATAATAATATTAAAATAGTTAATATAATTATAATATTATGAAATATATTATAAGATTATATAATAAATAATAATATTTCAATTATTATATAATTTAAAATTACAACTATATTAGATTATA